TTAAATTGTTTGCACAATCTTTTGCTACTGCCAAATGATACCTGATTGGTCTTGAGCACATCCAGTGTATATACTTGGTTCCAGTGTTCTGCTGGATTTGGGGTGAATACAAAAGACATCTATGAACTCAGAGAGCAGGTTACTTAATGCTTGGGAAGGGTTGGGACCTTTACAACACTTTTGCCTTCAGCAAAAATGTATTTCAATATAATTATAGTAGATAGCTTTCAATATGTCATCTCTGTTATAGCAGCTGTAAATTATAAAGTGAATTGCCTGTATACAAGCATTTCCTTCTGGGACAAGCAAAGTGTGAGAGCTACACAGAGCATAGTGTATCCTTCCTCAAACAGATGTCAAGGTCAAATCTCATTTGCAAAAACCAATGAGTCCATTTTCTTGGGTAGAGAAGTGGAGAAACCAAAAAAGGCTAGCTCAATTGAAGGTCTTCAGTTCTTAAAAGCAAGGCTTCCTGAGGACCGCTGGCTTAAATTCGTTAGAAACTAAGCTATTTTAACAGTTGGGTCTTTAAATTACAATTTTAAACCTATATTTAAAAGGTAGAGTAAAATGATTTTTCAAAACTTGTAGCTAATCAACAAAGAAGACAGAAGCAACTGGATTTGTTTCAGCTAGAAAAAAGCAATGCATCTGAGATGAAGTATTAGAAGACCATTTGCAGCAAGCTTTGGAAAATTGTCGTATTCCTGCTGGGTATCAGAATCAACAAGTCACAATTAAAATAGTTTGGTTTCCTTTTGGATGGTAGTAATATTCAAGAATCTTACTTTAATATATGTTTAATGCCTAATATTTCAAAAGCACCTGCATTTAGGTGGTGAACATCAAGAATCATTAAACCTGAGCCTATGGAATAGAGACATATGATCAAAGAACACTTTGGGGGGAAAAAAGTGTTTTTAGAGACAATACCATACCTAACACCCATACTGAGACTTACAGCCTGAATATGATTTTGCTCAAACTGTAACTCTAGTCTGCTTAGCTTTGTAAATGTGGCTATGCTTAGAAGGTACTTTGATTTACCGCAGTGGTGGTGTTTGTTAATTTTATGGCAACCTAAATCCAAACAGGTTTTAGATACATTTTTTATTACAGCTTCATCGCAAAACACAGTAGAGTCAGTGAATAACTCTAAGATTCCAAAGTAGTTTAGTAAGGCTCAATACAAATTTCTAATGAATTCTCTGCCTTAACATATATGTTCTTCCTATTTACTGATAAGCTTTCTGTCAGTGTATCCATGATCACTCGAGGGAAGAAAAAATAATTTCTGGAAAGTAATTAAAATAGTAGGTTTTCCATTTGCTTTGTTCCCATTTCAAATGTAATCCAACATAGACAAATTGGAGAAAACCAGTACCAGTAAATTATTTTTCAATTCTGTGTGAGTACCAGTATAATTCAATAGACAAATATGGCACATTGTCAAAACTGACTGCAATGCCTGATTCTAACAATGTGTGGCATTGGACAAACCACTTAACCTCTGTGAATCCCACTGTCTTATCTATAAGATAGAAATTATGACATGATTTACTTTAGAAATGCCACCGATTCAACTCATTTACCTGTTTCACCCTTCTAGTAATACCAAACATATCCCTAAAGGTCTAGATGTTCTTATATCCTAAAGAACTGAAAGGAGGGCTGGGGTTGTGGCTCAATGGTAGAGTGTTCACCTAGCATGTACAAGGCCATGGATTCAATCCTCAGCACCACATAAAAATAAATAAAATAAAGGTATTGTGTCCAACTACAACTTAAAAAAAAAAAAAAACCTGAAAGTTAGAGTTGACTGTTTTATGTCAAAACTCACTGATAATTAATAACTTAGGAGAACTACAAACAAAAGAGCTATAAAAGCTAGGTCCAAAGACAACCCAAGGGAACTAACTGCTCCTGTGCAACTTCTAAAACAATTCAGCACCTACAGAAAAAAACTGATTCTGGTGAGTCTGCCAATTAGTCCTCATACCCCATTATTTATTTGTCCATAATGATGCAGAGATTTCATATATCTATCTGTTCTTTCTGAAAGTATTAACAAGAAGAAAGGAAATATACATTTAAACATTTACTAGATGACTGTACCCAGAGATAAGACTCATGATTACATGTTACTCCCAATTTTATATTTAATGCAAAATAACAAAAAAAAATTAACTTATGTAGAACTTGTATCTAATACATATAATTTTATAGAAAAAACAAAACCCTCAAATTGTCAAAAATAAATAAATAAATAAAATCTTGGTGATCTGATTCTGGTATTAGCTAAGAGTAGGGTTATTAAAATTCTCATGGGAAATTTTTAGGCATATTTCTAAAACCATGAGGCTCAAGTGCTGGTCATCAACTGATACCAGCTTCTCCAACCTTCAACAGGGCCACAGGGGAGGGGGTGGGGAGGGAGTAAAAAGATAAGTGTGGAGAAACATGGCAAGGACAGTAAGGAACTACCTCAATTGCTCAGCTGTACAAGGTGACTGGTGGTATTTACCTAGTAAATATGTATAGATGTATTTAACATAAACTTATGCAATTAGGATTGTATAAATTAGAAACACTTTATATTGTTTATGCTCAGGGCAACCTTTTCAACCATGACTTATTTTGTTTACTTTTAATTATTCATATGTCAAATCAGAAAGCTAATTTTTTTTCATGTACAATAAAAGATAACTTTTTCCAAAATTCTTATTTGCACATTTTCCACCAGAATTTATTCTTATAGATTAGATATAATTCTGGGTCCCAGAAAATCCTATTCAGAAAATAGAAAATATTTCATAATATTAATTTACATTACATTTTAAGATAACACTGCATAAATCTTTCTACCTTCCTTAAAAACATACTCACCCCTGGGGTAGAATTCAGCATTTGTTTAATACCATTATATCCAGATTATTATTATATATATATATATTTATATAACTATTTATACAACTAAATCCTCTATCTATCTGAAAGTGTTCAGGGATCTTATTAAGAAAAAAAATCATTAAGCCTGAACAGGGGTTATGGAAGGGAGTTTTGGAGGGAGAGAGGGATGAGTAGCACAGAGGATCTTCAGGACAGTGAATATACTCTGCGTGGTCCTATATGGGTATACATTTATCAAAACCCATGGAATGCACAATGCCAAGAGTGAGGCTTAAGGTAAACTAATGGACTTTGGGTAATGATGCATCAATGTAGGCTCACCAACTACAACAAATGTAACTCTAGTGTGTTTCTATATTGACCTCATTTCTTTTGCTCTTTGAGTTAACACTTACCCCTCACAATGGGGAATGCTCTGCATATGCAGGGGAAGAGGGCATATGACATATCTCTATACCTTCCTCTCAATTTTGATGTGAACCTAAAACTGCTTAAAAAATGTATTTCAATATAATTATAGTAGATAGCTTTCAATATACTTAGCAAGATCCTGTCTCATAATAAATAAACAGAAAGGGCTGAGTATGTGGCTCAGTGGCTAAGTGCCTCTGGGTTTAATCATTGGTACCAAAACAACAGCAACAACAACTACTACGCACTGTGAACCCCACTTCACACTTAAGTGTATGGATTTTGAGAAGTTAACTAGCTATTTAGTAAAGTGTGTATGCTTGAAATTATATGATGTCTAAGACTTATTTTTAAACACCACATCTCCCGTCCCCCCCCCACAATTTTTTTTAAATGGCCAGGTGAAAGACAAAATAAAGAGTGGCAAAGTGCTAACTGTTTTCCTGGGTGATGGCTGTATAGGGGACTCTTTATTTTAGGTTGAAATTAACAATAGGCAACTGTTTTGTTGTCTTGCTTTTATTTTTGAGGGGGTGAGTCTTGCTATGTTGCCCAGGTTGACCTGTAACTCCTGGACATGAGTGATTCTCTCGCCTCTGCCTCCCAAGTAGCTGGGACTATAGGTGGTACCAGCACAACCCATTTGCAACTGTTTTTGATCTAAAACTTAGCAATTTCATAGAATTTGATCTAATACTATTCTCTTTAATTTTGTGTATGTTTTAAAGGTTTCATTATAATGAGCTTCTTTATTAATTTTCAAATAAGAATTCTTATCAAATAAGAATTCCTCAAATTAAGCAACATTTTGGTCTTAAACTAACAATTAAAATATATTTAAAATGAACCACAAACATTTTACCTTATTATATTAAATCTAAGACTCACTTGTTTTTCCCTAAAGTTTTAACGTCTTTGGAGTTTAGAAGCATTTTGTAATCAATGGCATTTTAGAGTTAAAACAGCAGTCTGAATTTTCTTGGTAGTGCATAAAAAAATGGCACAGCTTAAATTCAAAGATATCTTAGGTTCAGTGAAGGACTGTTAGTAAAATTGCTGAGAACAAGAATTTTAATCCTTACTCCTTTTGAAATCAGGAATTCAGCACACAAAGCCTGGTATCTTGAGGTACTACCCATAATTATCCTGGGAGGTCTCATGCTCAGAAAGACAGGCCAGAACCTGCTTACTTAAGTAATGCAAGTTAGTTCCCTTTCCTATAGTCTGGCACAATCCATAAGAATTAATTCCTAGGAGGATTCTAGAGCTCACAGCATAGGAGATAAAAGCTCACTATGCAATGCTTCCCTTTAAAAGTTGTTAATGCTTATGAACAAAGCCGGTGCATAAATATAATTACACCGAGCTCTGAAGGGCACCAAGTGGTGAGGTTAGAGGGGAACAATGGCTGCAGGTGTTGTAGTAAGGGCATGTGAATATGAGGAATAAAGAAAACTAAAACATGTGAATAGGATAAAACAGGGTTAGATTCACCTCCTAAATTTCAAAGAGTCTCCATTTCACAATTCCAACAACTCACTTGGGTTTCTGTATCGACCCCATTTCTTTTGCTCTTTGAGTTAACACCTACCCCTCACAGCCCTGAGAAGTGGTTAGCATGGTCAACCAGAAGAGAAATAGAGGATTTGTGCAGGACTATGAGAGTGGCGGCTGCTGACCTGTTCATATTTCTCCAGTTCTGTGTGATAGATTTGTCTGATCTGGGTCAATTTGGCTCTGTAATCTGAGTGTTCAATAGAGTTATCTGAAGAACCTCCAGAGGCTGCCGCGGCTGCAGCTGCTGCCGCCGATCCCCCACCTTTCTCAGGACCTGAAACCCCTTCTGCCAAAAGCATATTGTCCAGTCTCATTAGCTGGGGATCGGGAGGGTCTTCCTCCTGGGCTCCTCTGATGCTGAGACCTTCAAGGAAAGAGAGAAACAGAGAAGAAGCGAGAAACAGGACAAATAGTGTGAGTTATTTTGTTTATTTGAGAATATGATTAAACAATATCAGTGCACTACAATTCATGCTGAAAACTTCATTGCTCACATTTTATCAATAAGCTTGAATAAGTATGAAAATTACTTTCAAGAAAATATTTACATGCATCCTCAAATGTCTAATACCACTCCCTCCAATTTATCCCAGATTGGATCCTTAGAAAAAGGTAACCCTGACCTCTTGGCATATCCTAATCATCCAAGATTCTCAGATTTAGATGATTTGAGCATAAAGTGGTTAAAAAAAAAAAAAAAAACTGGGGAGGGATGGTTAAGAAAGGAAGAAAATAATTCCAGAGATATAAAACAAGTTCATCAAATGGTGGTTATTCTCTTTCTGCACTTAGAGAAAAAGAATAAAAATTCTCATAAAATAATTTTAATTCAAAAGTTATATCCAAAAATTAGAAAATAAACAAGATTAGATGGCTTTTTTATCATGTAATTTCAGAAGAGGAATGCATACAATATGAGGTAATTAACTGTACTTGAGTATCTATATTATTAAATGAATAGAATTAAGCAAACTATAAAACCAGGACACTAAATACAGTATTAAAAATGTGCCACTGACATGGCTATAGTGCTGGGCACACTAGCCTCAATCTAATTTTGCTTTTAAATCAAGAACTTCCTAAGTGATGCCCAGTCAGCATCCTCTTCTGAGTACTATAGATCACAGCTGACAATTCATAGGTTTAATCAGGTCACATAGGCTTTCTGCCAAGATGTTTTCAACAACACAGAAGACAAAGTTTTAAAATAATTATGATGGTATAAAAAGCACCAGAGTCATGACAGCTCAAATCAGCATTTTCATTAATGTGCAACATAATCTAAAATATCCCAGCCCAATTAACCTCTGTAAATCTGTTTAAAAGAAGGTTCCCCACACTAGTCATGAGACTTCTAGGGACAAAGGGGAAGGAAGTTGGCATCTTGCATGTTTGCATTTGGATTCTGCTTTGCGTCTGTACCTATTGTTGTTTATCCACAGTGGTGCACACTCTGTGTCTAGTGTAACTTACATGACAGTAACATCTATAAGCTGCCAAGTATTCAACTGATCACTAGCTCTGTGATTTTATGTTAACCTAGAACTACCATCAATTTTTTTAAGAACAGACTTCATTCCTAGATGTCCTGAATTATAACCACAGCATGACTCTTTTTTTAAAAATCTGTACTTAGTTGTCTTAACTCAGATGAACAACTTAATAATTCCTTCCCCTCAAACACTTTAAAGATGAAACTTTCATTTAAAAATACACTTCAGAATAATTTCAACTGGATAATAAAACAAACTCACCATAAATTAAAATTATGTCTGTTAACCATTCAGAGATAAATAAGATTTGAAAACTATAATATCCTTAGATAATAAGTTCATTTAAGGAAGCAAGGATAACTTTCTTTCTAAATCTATATCAACCCATTCATTGCTAAAGATAACTAAAGATCTAATGTATTTGCTATTTCTTCTAGAATTCGAAAAAGCTGCCTCATATTGTTCTTGAACTACCCCATATTGGTTAATTTGATATTTTTAACTTAACATCTTTTATTTTCCTCCTTTTTCATTCACTAAAATGTTTTAAATATTATAATCCCATGGTTTGGACACACTCATAGGTCATATGTCAAGTTTTCTGTGTCCTTTACATGTTGTGAGGCTTACTATGGACTCTTTTCTTGCACTTTGGGTTCTGTTTCACTTTATAATGTTTAAGTTTCTCCTTTTAAACTTAACTTTTGCTCACATTTTTGTGTACCTGCTGTTTCTCTTTTGGATTTACAGATAATGGTGTTTCTGGAAATGTTTATCTACCTTTAAGGTTCCATCAGTTTTCTAATTTTCTCTTTATATATGAACACATTGATCTTTTCCCTATGGACATGTAGTATAGGTCTTTAATAGTAGATCAACAGCCATTGTCAAAATTATTATATTATTCTACACTTTTTGCACAGTGGCAGACAAAAGATGCTCAATGACTGATACTAAGGGAAGCAGACCATAAGGAAGAAAGAAGGAAATCCATCAGAAAGAAATGGAAAAGGTACACACTAATTAGCCATCTATAACACTTTTATACATACCTAATATGTATATGAACCATCACCACTATACCAATAGAAAGCACCCTTAAGTTCAATGGCAGTGAACACAAGAATAATTGTTAACTATATACTTTCAGCTACTATAATATTCTCCTAAGTAATCTTATTTCAAAATTGAAAAGTATATCAACATGTGTTTGCCTCTAGAATAAGAAAAAATGTTTTAATGCAATTAAAATTATTTACTTTCTAAATTATGTGCATCAGATATCATTAAAAAAATTTTCCTAACAAAAAGTTCACACTCCTTTGGAGAAAAAGTACTAGAGTTCTTTGCAATTAGGCAGCAATGAGAAGCCTATTTATCAATAATGAAGTCATTTTTATAACTTTATTTTGAAAAGTAAATCAAGTTTTTTTCTATTAAGCAAAGTAATGATTAAGGTGCTCTAAACAGTAATACCTGGTTTCCAAAATTATTTTCAATTTGAATATTTCTATTTATTTCCTTACTTTACATTCAAGTTACTCATCTGTTCTTCATCCTACCTGCCTATCCACTTACTATTACTTAGCTTACTAAACTTCTGAAGTCACCGTGTGGCTTCCAATCATAATACCAACTCTTCTGGGCACCTATAAACATTTTAATGAACCTAAATTCACAAGAGCCAGAAAGAATCCAAAAGATCCTGATGGCTTCATTGAAACTTGGTAAAACAATAATTGAAAAAACTGGTTATTCTTGCTTTATATCCAAAATGTATGTATATTGGATCATATAAAGAGGTTTATAAAGTTTTATATCTAAGCCCTTTGGTCACCACAGCATTATAAAGATGGGGAGAAAAAAACAGCAGCCCTATTTGCAATCAACTTATATAACAACAACATTCATTTCAATCTCTCTAAGATTTAGATAAATCATACAAACACAGTAAAACATTGTTTAACAATGAACTTGGCTTTGTTATAAGCCCACAATTTTTGCATATCTTTCAGCAAATCCTAATTAGCTGTCTTTCAACATGCTGTGCACCTGCCCCACAGATAATGGGAGAGAGCATCTGCATAGACGACTGCATTCGGAGGGCAATAAATAAATTACGGGTCAAATTATTACAAAGCTTTCTCCGAATATATGCATACCCTTCACAATACTAAGCTGCAGATGTGAAAAGTACCTAAAGCCCACTCAAATGGTATGATTACGGGGCTGTTTGAGTTTAATAATCTGACTGTAATTCAGGCATTTTCAACAGCTCATTAAGGGTTCATTAATATATAGGCAAGCTTTTGAATTATAAATAAGCAGATTAGAAATCTGTATTGGCTAGATTGTACAGTACTAGCCTCTCTAGCAGAATGACACTGTAACACAATGAAGGCTTGACCTGAGAGGAGGAGATGCAAACTCTCAGGGCACTGAGCTTCTTGGTCTCTATTTCAAGGACCGAGCCCACTGGACCATGACTAACCTCTGTTCATTTGGACTGAAGAGTGGCTTCAGAACCCAGCTATTTCAGATATGTGCTGCACATGATCATGAATTAGGCATAAGTAAGATCTAGCCCTACCATATTTCCATAATCAGGGAAGACACAAAATGTTACACAAAAGTTATAATCAACTTCTTTTTACTTTGGAAAGAGTACATTATTCAGATCTGCTGAGACACCAAAAGCTATTATGGAAACTTGAGCTGTTTGATTTATTTCCCCTAGTGAGCATACCATAAAACAAGATTTCAAATTATTCGTAAATTTAGGCCTATGGAATTGCTTTAATTTTGCTCTCTGATGGACTTGTTTTTGATTCATTCAACTAGCACACCAGTCTTAGCTTAGAGAAAAAGGTTTTGGCAGAGTGTCATATAAAACAGGACCAGCTCAGGTTATTTTCAGCAGGCCTTGACTACTTTGAAAAAGTGACAATCCTAATATTTTCAGTTACTCTTGTAATCTTCCTTAGATTTTGTTCTGTTATTTAAAAGTAAAAGCAGGACTATGGTCAGAAGTTACAAAGCTAACTGATCAAAATTCCAATTTTATTTTCTGTACCTTCTTCATTTAAGAAGTCAAGTTCAGAGCTGGGGTTGGCTCAATGGCAGAGCGCTCGCCTAGCATGTGTGAGGCACTGGGTTCATTCCTCAGTGCCATATAAAAATGAATAAATAAAATAAAGGTATTGTGTCCAAATACAACTAACAAAATTCTTTTTTTAAAAGAAGAAATCAAATCAGGCACAATTTGAGAAAAATAACCAAATTGTAAAGAAAAAATATTAGTCATATTGCTACTTTTCTCCCCAAACATAAAGAAGATAAAATAATCTTCCACCTGAAATCCTTAGGAAGTGGTGTATGTCTGAAACACAAGACCTAGAAGTGAAATGAAGATCATAAGACCAGGGTTGTAAGCTCTCGTCTTAAACAATTATTTCTGGTTTGTGAAAACTAGCATGTAATTTGGAAACAAAGTAAAGAACTGAAAACTCTCAGGACACTACCTTCTAAACAAGACATTAAAAACAGGGGCCTGGGAGCAGGAGGTTGGGTTCTTAGAGAATAATGGACAGACTAGAGGTAGAGCCAAGACCACGTCCAGGGAAGGCCAATAGTTCAGTGAGGTCTGACAGAGGAGGGGCAGGGAGAGCAAATCAAACAGCTTCGGCACCTCCTGAAGAAAGATATGGAATAATACCTGCATCTGGATTCCACATTCTCCTTCTTAAGACTAAAGATGGGTCTTATAATGAAAGAGAAGCCTCATACTATTTTGGAGATATATAGTAACTGTAAAAACAGCTAATTCTAAAAATATTATCAGGAAATGCCAGGAGATTCAGTTGCCTGACAC